GTAATCCAATCATATTATTTGTTCATTTAGTGCTTCCTCTAGTTGGCTCATTTTTATTTTCTCGATCCTTCCTCTATGATTAGAATGCCTTAGGATGCTTAGTTTCTTTTATTCTCAACTGCGATGAATCTTCCACTTTTTGATGAATTTGATTTATAATCTGGGAAATTTTTCTTTTGAAGCTCTAAACTGATTCCTCTTTTAAATTTTATTAACTATAAAATTTTCACCTATCTTTTGCCATTATTTATCTAATATTTATTAACATTTTTTACTGTTATGGATCTTCAGCTGACCCTTGCTGTGAAGAGTCTACGAGCCAGACACCGACTTATGCTTACGGGTACACCGATTCAGAATAGCTTAATTGAACTCTGGTGCCTATTCGACTTCCTCATGCCGGGTTTTCTGGGCTCAGAGCAATCATTTAACTCTCAGTTTGCCAAGCATATCAACGCCATGCGCGATTCAAGAGCCTCTGTTGAGGTTAGACATTTAGGTTAGCTCCTATGATGTTTTTGCTGTTCTAAGTTCGTTTCCCTTTAAAATGACTAATCTTCAAGTATGGCATTTGCCTCAGTATTTTCTTGAGCGTTCATATCATATCCTCTTCCATATTATAATAGCATCTTTATTTTTATAAGCGATAGATTAGTTATCACTTCACGCCTATACTAGGACGCATCAACAAGCACGTATATATGTTTGTAACTCGACAGTTTCGAGTAAGCTTTTATGTCGCCTTACAAGCCCTATGTGGAGTTAAGTTACTTCATAATTATTATATTTATAATAATATAATATTTATTTTTTAACAGTTTTTCAGAGAAAGTTAATAAATCCGCCGATCTTAGTATATCATAAACTGTTGTCATCTGCTACCAAGCGACGATATATCATTGTATCCAGGAACATATTTTGAATGTATTCTCACTTAAATTTTAATTCAAAAGGGCATTCTTGGAAGTAAAAGTTAAATATGGCTTTGAAATTTATATATTTATTTTGCTTCAAACTTATGAGTCCATTTATTGTTATTTATGACTATCAGTCTAGAGACTATTATAAACAAATCCAGATGGCCTTGTGTAGTCTTCTTTTTATTCTATTCTATTTATGTCATATTATCAGACTTTATTTGACCAGTTCAGCAAAAACTGCACACTTTTACGCTTCCACCTTTACTGATATCCAGAATTACAACATTTTATAAAAGTATAAAATTATCACCATATCTACATTAACTAGAGTCCCTTCAAATTCATGAAGGACTGAAAATTAATTTCATACAATAAATGCAGTAGAAGACCTAATCATTTAAAGATCAGATTTATACTTTCCTATCCAGGATAATTGCAATTTCTATTTACCAAACATGACTTGTGAAACCGTCTTCCTGAATTTTGTCTATCTTGCTACTCCCTTATGCTCCCTCATCCATACGAAAATCCTTCCTGCTTTTTAAGTTGTAGTCCTTTTTTACGTTCAATTCTGACTCATGTTGCGCTTACTCTTTCCTATATCGTGGCCTAAAATCAATTAATCTAGTCGATCTTATTGTTTTTTTCAGCTTCG